ACCCTGGACCACAAAACCAGTCTTAAGTCGCTTGGGTATATTTTTAGCAATAGCCAAAAATACATTGTATGGGTCAAAATTATTGATTTTTCTTTTATGCCAAAAATCATTAGGATATTAAGTAAAGATCATGTTCCATGAAGATATTTTGTAAATTTCCTACTGTAAATATATTAAAACTTAATTTTTGATTAGTAATATGCATTGCTAAGAACTTAATTTTAAAGGCGATTTTCTCAATATTTAGATTTTTTTTGCACCCTCAGATTCCAGATATTCAAATAGTTGTATCTCGGCCAAATATTGTCCTATCCTAACAAACCATACATCAATGGAAAGCTTATTTATTCAGCTTTCAGATGATATATTTTCAGATGATATTTTGAAAAATTGACACTTAAGACCGGTTTTGTGTTCCAGGGTCACATATGGTTTGAGTGATCTGAAACATGTTTTTCCATACTTTTCTCAATAATTATAAAGTAGACATCACATTCAGAAGTATTAAGTGCAGTATGGCAGTATTTGATTTTAATTCAACCTCTAAAAAACACATAAAAGACATGCGACGAGAACCTTAGACCTATGTTACAGTTCATGCTGCATCAAAAATGGTGAATCTATTGTTTTTTTTTTTTATATTCAAAACACTTTTAGACCTTTTTTTCTCTCCAAAAATAGAATGGATGTTACCTTTTGAACACTTGACATGAAAATGAATGGAGGTTTTTACAGATTTTTCATGATTTCATATGTGCATCACTATTTCAAAGTAAAGGTCAGAACGCACTCTCTGACTCTGATGAGTACTCTAGTCACCAAATATGAAAACTAGAGTCTTTAAGCTTTCAAGCGATATATAGTTTGTCAAGATTACTTTAGGTTCAGACTAAGATATTACTGTTTAAAACATGTAATGACAAGTGGGCCCGTGACAGTTAACAGTTAAACTTAACAACCGGATACTGATATTCAAATATTCTCTTATATGGGAGTTTCCATAAAGGTTCCGTAAAGTGCTAATTGGTTACGAATACCTTCATGTCTTTAGGCTCTCCCATCTTAAAAGAATAGCTCACACATAAATTGTCATTCAAAACCTTATTTTATGCTCTGTGTGGAACACAAAATGAGATCTTTAGCAGAATGTTCAAGCTGCTTTCGAATTACCAATCACACAAGTGGATGGTAATTCTCACTCTCAAGCCAGTCTTAAATCAGTTCCTCTGAGGTAGCAGATGAATGTGTGTATATGAAGCCCAGACAGAGCATATGTGTGTGAAATACAGATTGTAAAGCTGAATGTTAGATTGGGTTCTCTGCTGATTACTGCACTGCCTGACTTTGCTCCGTCTGCTAAACTCCTCCACACCAGCATGTACCCCATCCCACCCAGCCCTCCTTTCTTCTGTGTGAACTCCTCTACCACCAGCTCCATTCCTCAGTTGTCCTCAGTTGATTTTATTTTCTTTTGGGCCTAAATTATGGCATAAGCAATTACTTTCCATGTGGTCTCATTGTCTTTTCTTAGCTCTTTATTCTTGTGAATATGCTTCTGATCTGTTTGCCTATCTGTGCTTTATTTTACTATTCCCTTAATGTCCTTCTTTCTCCGTCTTTTACTACTTTGAAATTTTGCTCCGTCTTTTCTTTCTCTCTCTTTCCTGATGGGGCCCTTCTCTGCCTCTGCAGGCCGTTTCTTTGATGAAAATGAGTCCCCTGTAGATCCGCAACACGGCAATAAGCTGGCGGACTATAACGGGGATGATGGCAACGTGGGTGAGTATGAGGCGGACAAGCAGGCCGAGCTGGCCTACAATGAGGAAGAGGATGGTGATGGTGGGGAGGAAGACGTCCAAGGTGAGCCAGGGGGATTGCGACTGCTTTGCTATTCCGTCTCCTCTCCCCGTCTCTTTTGCTGTTGCTGTGCTGCTAAATTAAGCTGCTGGTTCAGTCATCATGGGCTCACAGCATACTGAAGTACTGTCAGCTCGTTTGGCCTAATGCTTGAAAGGCTTGTTGAAGGGGTCAATCGAGGAGGAAGCCCTCACCTCAGTGTGCTGAGAGCATGTGTGAATGAGGGAGAAAGTTATGAATGTGAGCTCTTTAACCTTACTGGACCATGTGGTTATGAGACTGAACCTTCTCTCCCAGTATGCCTCATTCCAGTCATTGTCTTTACTAATTAGCGTGCTTGTGTGTAGTTATTGTGTTTTCGGTGCATGTGACACCTGTGCCATCAACGCCACAACACCTGTGTTGAATCCTTTTCACTAGGGTTTTGATATTTTAAACGAGTTGTTTTGAAGTCACTGCTGTTTAGCCTTGTAGAACTGGGCCATCTTAATGCATTTTGCCAGTTTTTGCATCGGTATCACTTAACACTTGTGACAGTTGTAAACCCTATGTCTCTTAGGCCATGTTCACAATGCAAAGTCTAGAGAGTGACAACTGCATGTAAGTGCAAGAATGAATCCTGTACTTTTCTGATCCGTGTGTGTACACCATGGTTAATATTAGGGATGCATGATATTTCCAAATAACTAGTATATTTGCAATAACTCAAACAATTTGGTAATTTTAAGTTTTCTGGTTGATTATAACTATATATCACCATGTTGAGAGTTGGTAGTATTTACATTTGGATTGTTTCAATAAAAATTCAGTTACATTCTAAGATTTGACATTATTTTTTTATTCAGTGTTGCAGTAAAACTGCTGCTCACTTTCAGAAGTTGTTGTGAAATGTGTGTTGGTAATATTATTTTTATTTTTTAAATGTATTTAAATATAAGTTATTTTTTGTTTACAGCTGCCAAAATGTTTCTATGGTTATTACTATATAATCTGGGGCTGCACGATATTGAAGACATGCAATATGCGCTAACTTAACGCGATGTGCAATACACGTTAATGGTCTAAGATCAGTGTAAAATCAATTTAACTTATATTTAAATACATTTAAAAAATAAAAATAATATTACCAACACACATTTCACAACAACTTCTGAAAGTGAGCAGCAGTGTTTTACCGCAACACTGAATAAAAAAATAATGTCAAATCTTAGAATGTAACTGAATTTTTATTGTGGTTGATTATAACTATATATCACCATGTTGAGAGTTGGTAGTATTTACATTTGGATTGTTTCAATAAAAATTCAGTTACATTCTAAGATTTGACATTATTTTTTTATTCAGTGTTGCGGTAAAACACTGCTGCTCACTTTCAGAAGTTGTTGTGAAATGTGTGTTGGTAATATTATTTTTATTTTTTAAATGTATTTAAATATAAGTTAAATTGATTTTACACTGATCTTAGACCATTAACGTGTATTGCACATCGCGTTAAGTTAGCGCATATTGCATGTCTTCAATATCGTGCAGCCCCAGATTATATAGTAATAACCATAGAAACATTTTGGCAGCTGTAAACAAAAAACATAGATAGTGACAGTTTTACTTGCCCTTTTTGACAAAAATTACCATCTGAAAATTGTTAGTAAACAAAAAGGACAGGCAGTGACAACCACATTTATATAAAATATGCATGCTGTGTATGGAACCAACTCTTTTTAGAAACAACAAACACTGCCTCTTCTGGCTGAGTAACTCCTGAATTCTGTTTACACACAGCATGATAATTTACGGTAGGCTGTAAAATCGATTAATTGAAACCAAACGATTTTACAGCCCTAACTTACGGGATTCAGACAATGTGGTTGTCACTCCCAAAACTTTGCAGTGTGTATGAGGCCTTAGTAGCTTTCACTATTATTAGTTTAAATGTGTATAGGCATATTTTTCTTCACCCATGAAAGTTACGCTAGTTAGTTAGTCAGCCATTGTTGTAATTGTAATCACTGAATTGTAATTATCCCTGTTGTTGTATCTTTCAGACGATGAAGATCGGGAGGCTCCAGGTGAAAGGGCTGTGGATTATGGAAAGCGACATCAAGCCATTGACGTCCTGTAGTTCAACCTCTCAAAAATCCTTTACATTGAGCTTTGGATGTTTCTAACAGTGAAGTAGCCAAGCCAGGAAAAGGAACTTTGGATTTCACCTGCAATTTTGGTATCATGATTGGAGACATTCAGACTATTTCAGTGTCTTCAGAGAGGAACGAATTTCAGTGGTTACGGCTGTGAAATCAGTGACTGCGGATGAATTTCAATCAACTTAAATACAACAGTGATTTCATAATCTGCTGCAAATGTTTGCTTGCACATGACCTAATTGGAGAGTATTGTTTTCATGTTTGTTTTTTTGCCCTTATCTGTAGCACCGGTCTATCAGAATTGGGATTTGGAACTAATATATTGTACAAATGTCTTTTTTTGGGGGATAATAAAATACCTTCTCCATGGACTGGAGGACACTACTGTGAATAGATAATACGGAAGTAATATTTCTCTGTTAGATTCACAAAGTGGAACATATTGATACTACTGATGAAAAGGACCTCTACAACACCAGGTTTCCTTTTTTTTTTTTTAAGAACTGCTGAAAAGCATAATCTCCCTTTATCTTTTTGGACCACTGTTGCTAAATCGAAGTGTAAACTATGGGAAGATGCAATTAAGTTGCTGTTCAACTTTTTAACCTCTCACTGGTACATAATGACACCAATTGGCCAGACATGTTTTTTTTTGTTTTTTTTAACTACTGTTTCTAATTCTGAAGGAGCACTCAGAAGTGCACATGGAGTCTTGTAAGGACATTGTTGCATGCAAAAAGCAGCATTTGTAAATCAGCCTGTAGATCATCAAGAAAATGGAAAAAAGCAATACTTGGTGCCACAGACTAAACTCATCACAGCTGTTGGCCTGCTTCCTTTCTTACTGGTAGCTGTAGATGTACAGTACATATGAGGAATCTGTGTGATAAGGAATGCTGTAAAATTGCTAAACTCTCAAAAGGACATAATGATCATAGACCCGTTTGTGTTTGTTTCATAATTAAGCAAAATTTGGTAGGGTTGGCATACTGAATGTACTCTTATAGCTTGTCATTGTTTTTGAGATCTGTCACATGGGTGTTTGGGCTCTCTTACACAGCTGTGCAGTGCAATCCAAGGATAACAATTAACAAAATACTCTATTTCAAATAAACTGGTCCTGTTTTGGAAAAAGTACAAATCCTATCACTGTGACTAAAGTATAGAAAGTAGTAGCATCAAGAAGAGCACCCAGAAATCTTCATTCATTTGTCCCAGGCTGCTTTACAAACATAAATGATTCCATTACGGTAACAATAAAAAAAAAAAATTCTGTATAAAGTATTACTGTCTGTGCATTAAGAACGTTTATATAAATGTGTACCTATTCACCTTAGATTGACCATATTTCAAAATATTTTGTTCTAAGACGTATGTATCATCATATGATGGCATCCATCATATGATGGCATCTGAAGTAGAATGGAATTGAAATTCGCTTCATTCAGGAACATACAGGCATTCCACCGAAGTGCTTCGTAACGGTATTGCCATGACAACCAGAACGTGCCTTTCCTTCTCATCTCATACCCATTGCGCTCGTTCTGTTTTTACTGGCTGCTTGTTGTAGATGTGCTTGCATTAAGAACGTTTATATAAATGTGTACCTATTCACCTTAGATTGACCATATTTCAAAATATTTTGTTCTAAGACGTATGTATAAGAAATGACTTTGTATCATCATATGATGGCATCTGAAGTAGAATGGAATTGAAATTCGCTTCATTCAGGAACATACAGGCATTCCACCGAAGTGCTTCGTAACGGTATTGCCATGACAACCAGAACGTGCCTTTCCTTCTCATCTCATACCCAGTGCGCTCGTTCTGTTTTTACTGGCTGCTTGTTGTAGATGTGCTATGCATAAATAAATCTGATGTTTATGCTAGCACACCGTAGTTAGTAGTTTGTCTGCTACTTTTGCTCTATTATCAAACGCTAACATATCGGAGCCACATTCCTGTCAGAATAATTAATTGAATGATACTGACATCTACCTGGTAAATGCCGACACTAACTCCTACAAGGCTACCTGGTAAATGCCGACATTTTTGTCGTTTTGAAACGGAATTACTCTCTGCTCTACGTTTTTGCTAAAGCACGTTTTATATGATTCTTAGATGATGATGTTGTAAAGTGTATTTTTTAAATAGATACTGTAAGCTAAACCTGTCGCACTGCGAAGCCTCAATATTGTTTTGATACTCGGAACATCAGAAAGGGGGTGTGGGATGCGCACCGCAGGACGCATGCTCGCTCTTCTTCATCCGGGTACCTGCCGTTGACTGTGTGGGTACGGAGGCGGGAAATGGCGTCCAGAGGTGCGGGGAGGACAGAGGTGAACCTCGTCTGAAGAGGCACGCAAAAAATAGCAAGCGTCAGCAGCCCTGAAAACGACCGTGATCCTGCGACTCGATCCCCGGAGATTCGTCCAGTAAGTAATTACCCCGTCTCTATTGCTTGTGGGAATGGGGTGCCCGCAAAACCCCCATCTGTTCGCTCCGGTCGGTAATGTTTCGCTGTGGTTCGCTCCCGTAGCACCTATACCCGCGGTTAGGCAGCTGCCGTCTTCGCGAGTCGTTCCCGCGCTTTCTCTGTCATTATGTGGGATGCGCACCGCAGGACGCATGCTCGCTCTTCTTCATCCGGGTACCTGCCGTTGACTGTGTGTGTACGGAGGCGGGAAATGGCGTCCAGAGGTGCGGGGAGGACAGAGGTGAACCTCGTCTGAAGAGGCACGCAAAAAATAGCAAGCGTCAGCAGCCCTGAAAACGACCGTGATCCTGCGACTCGATCCCCGGAGATTCGTCCAGTAAGTAATTACCCCGTCTCTATTGCTTGTGGGAATGGGGTGCCCGCAAAACCCCCATCTGTTCGCTCCGGTCGGTAATGTTTCGCTGTGGTTCGCTCCCGTAGCACCTATACCCGCGGCTAGGCAGCTGCCGTCTTCGCGAGTCGTTCCCGCGCTTTCTCTCATTAGAACGCTGCCGACTGTTTTGAGTGGCACACGAGGCTTCTTCTAGTAACAGCGGGTCACGAGAGACAGGTTTCCTACGGAGAGAATGCGTGCATGTGTTCTAACGTTACATTGAAGATAGACCTGCACAGATGTGTCAAGAGCGTTTGCTGCATGTAAAAATACATCTCACAGGTTGTGGAGTCGTGTAATCATTGTGTGAACAGTTATTCTTAATGTCTGGCTAAACGGGGAAATCGTGAGAAAGTTGCTCGTCTTCCGTACAGAATCTCTTTAGCGTGTGTTTCCCGCCCACCACCACACTGTGTTCAGGTTACAGCGGTTGAACTTCATAATTTCTGAAGCGTCTGATGAGGTTAATCAGTTATGGTGTGGCAACACTTAATGCGTTTTCTTTCTTTTCTTCTTTTTCTAAGGTCTGACTGTAGTTATTTGACTGTAGGGAAGCGGTCCTCACCCATTGCTATTCCATTATCAAGTCAATATTTCAAGGGCCCTCACAGAGGCTCAAGATTTTAATGTGTTCTTCCTTTTTTGTGGTGAAACTAAATACACTTTTTTTTTTTTTTTATATTCTGTTGAATTAAGATGTAAATTTTGTTACTGCAAATATTATTCATTACTCAAACTTTCTACACAACTAGCCTATAACTTTCTAAAGATACTAGAAAATACAACAATTTAGGATCTGCCGATTAATGCCAAATTTAGTTTGCACTAGGGCTGTGCGATATTGGGAAAAAAAATGCGATACGTGATACGATATTGCTTAAAGTGTGAAAAATCAATTTAAATTTATATTTTAAAATATTTAGAAATTATATAACCAATTTGTTTCACATTCTTTCTTGGAAAAGAAAGAATCACTACAACTTCTGAAAGTGACCAGCAGTGTTTTAACATTACATAAAAAGTAATGTAATTTTAACATCAATGTGAACATTAGGGCTGCACGATATATCGAAATATCGCAAATGTAAATATCGTAATATGCATATCGCAAGGGCGTGCAATATCTGAATAATTTTAATAGTAGGCTACGTAAATCAAAACGTTGCAAAAGGTCAAAGTTTTAGTTCGACGCATATAGCAGAGAATTGCTTGACGTTAAAAAGAGTTATTAAGTGCAATAAGTTGCAGAAAACAACTCTTTGCCGTCTCGTCTTGCTGTCTGACTCACACCTGAAGCGCGCTCACACACACACACAGAGAGACACGTTTCAGACAGCGCGCGAACACCGAGTCGATTCGTCTTTCGCATCTCGTCATGTTTGAACAGACACATACACAGAGAATTACCGTATTGTCCCGAATATAAGACGATATTTTGAGCTTTGTAAAAATCGAAGCGTTTCAAAAAGGCGTGGCATAGAGGAGAAACAATAATGTACAGTATGTGGAAAATATTTTTTTAACTTTAAACCGCATAAACACATTTCATTACACCAAATACACCAAATAATGTTCTTTTTAGCAGCATCATATGACCCCTTTAATCTTGAGTACCTATAGAGTAGCACTGCATCCTTCATATCTCCAAAAAGTCTTTAGTTTTTCTAAAAAAGAGAAATTTCTTCCGGGAGAAATGCCCATATAAGGAGTTCCACCCTCGTCTACGTCATGAAGACCCACGATCGAAAAAAAACTCTCCGAAACTTGTACGAACCCAGAAGTAAGATTTTTGGCACAGAAATACTCCGTCATACGTCCAAATTGTTTTTTGAAACTTTGTCCATGCTTAGCATGAGAATCCAACTCTTTAACAGTGTAAACAACTCTGAATGCATGAAACAGCATTGTACCCCCCTTTAAGATGTTTAGACACTATTGGTCAAACGTTTTACTATTCAAATTTACAGGTCAGAGAGAGTTCACTATTTATAAGGTACACAGCACAGTGTTATTGTGAACTAAAACTACTGAAATTGCTTTCATTAATTAAAATAATGCTGACAAAATATGAATATTACATGAAAGACTAAAACTAAAGTACTAAAATTAAAACTGAATGCAATAAATAATGTTTCAGATATATTTTAAAACAAATGAATGAAATTACAAAAATACATGAAATGATTCAAATGAAAATAAAATATTTTAAAATAACGTATTTTTATAAGTACTTCAACAGTGCGTAAATAATACTAAAATAACTGCAGTGCAAAACAAAACTTCAAGTTCAAACATGCTTGTAATATAACATATTTAAAAAATAAATAAATAACCATTTTGTTGGCCCATTGGAAGTTTATTGATGCCCGCTAATGAACCACTGAACATTTGTCCTAGTTGTCCGGTCTATTATGAGACAGGTTACCAACAAAGTGTAATGGCATAGTCAAACTGAGCAGACACAAAAAAAGCCTTAGGGAGATCAGTTCTTGGAAATGTGTCAGCAGCCTTGGATTTGCTGTCGGTCTGTCAGGGCATGTTTTTGTTTCAAACCAACTTTGTGTATATTTTATTTAATTAATTTATGAATTTATGTATTTTTTGCTGTCAGAACGAATTGACTTTCAGAACCCTGCTGTGATGGAAGAGGTCAGAGGGGTCACAGTAGCAGTGGTTGCAAATTAATCTTCATTTAATTTTGATGGATTAAATGTATGTTTTATTTCCTGCTGTTAGGGTGTTTAATGTCTGCTGATGTTATTTAAACCAGAAATTTGGCTTCATTGATTCTTACTGTGCTGTTGAAGACAGTTGAATATCACTGTGCCTCTGTTCTTCTAGATTCTAGAAGAAAGGCTTCAGCTCCTCAGTGTTGTGAGGTAGCTGTCTTGACATGATGTCTGTTCGAGGCAGTGGATGAGTCACCATTTGTGGTGGTTAAGGAAAAAGCTGAGATGTTTTACCATCTGTACCCTTTCTCTCTCTACTTTTCGCCATTCCTCTCCTCTCCTGTCTCTTTAACGTGATCTCATGATAATTCGTATGTATTTTACGTAAAATGTGGTTCTAAAATTTATCCTCATGAATATTGAAATCGCGTCATTAATTTTATTATTTGTTGTTTTTAGTTGTCATATCAATGACCTTGTTTTCAATTGCATTATTAAATTGTTACTCGTTTACTTAATATGAAATAACATTTCGTTCGTCTGTTATTTCTGCTGCCAGTTAAAATAATCTTGTCGGTTAACGGTTAACAATCGGTTAACGAGCGTCGGTTAGGAAAAATAACTGAAATGAACATCCCTACATGTAATATTTACTTTGTTTGCCATGGGCCACAAAATGCGTTTTCTCTGACATGCTGTGACTGACAATAGAACTATAAAATACACCAAAAACGCAACATAATTTCGAAATTAAACAATTTTATTTGTGCGCTGTAATCCAAATCTTCAGAATCCACACGACTTCGAGGAACAGACCCAAATCCAA